GAAAACCCAAACAAACATAAAGCACAGCAGAGGCTGATGAAGGAGTGCAAAGCAGTTGGGGTAATTCTGCCAAAAGCAGCGGTGCTGCCGATGTTTCCAGGGCTGTGTCTCTTTGGGTAGGAGGCTAAAAAATTGTGATTTATAAATTTCTCCTCCTTTTTGCTCCACGCTGCCAGAAGTGTCCCATGGGCTGCGTGGGGACTGGCAGTGCCCCAGGCCAGGCTGGACAGGCTGGGAACACCTGGGACAGGGGAAGGTGTCCCTGCCATGGCTGGGGTGGGGTTTGAGGTCCCTCCCAGCCACACCAGTCTGGGACTCTGGGGTTCCCGGGTGTAAATGCTGTTTGTGTCTGCTCTGGCCTTGTCTCCAGGCATCCCAAGCCAAGCCTGTTCCCTTTGTTGTGGTGCAGCTCCCAGCTGGATTGAGGGGCCGGTGGCAGCTCCAGGTGGGACAGAGCTGTGCCCATCCATCCCCACTGCCCCGAGCCCCTGGGCTGCATCCCAGAGGGAAGGGCAAGCAGGGATTGCCATTCCCAGCCCCTGGGGGTGGCTTTGGGAGCATCCCAAAGCGCTGCAGGGGGCTCAGCTGAGCTCCAGCCCACCCTGGGCTGAGTTTGGGCAGGCTGAGCCCTGTGCCAGCTGTGCCAGCTGTGCCAGCTGTGCCCCTGCACAGCAGCCAAGGGCAGCTGCTGCTCAGGAAACACCACACGTTCCCAGCTCTGAGGCAGAGGGAAGGGCATCATCGCATTCAGAAAGTGCTGAATGTTTTTAATGAACGTGTCTGGGCCTTACCAAGGAACAGAGGAAGGAAGGAAAATTTCTCAGAGGTGGCCCCTGGGCAGCCTCGTGTTTACCCAGCAAGAATTGCCTTGAGGAGGAGCACGGTGTGTCCTTGAGGGAAGGGGGAGCAGAGCTGAGGGGCTGCTCGGAGCTGACGGAGGCTGCCTGCTTGGTAAAAAGTCGATTTTTTCTTTTATTACAGCTCAATTCTTCCTTTTTTTTTCAAGCAAAGAGACTTCTGTCGTCCTTTGCAGATAGGCAGGACTGCCCCAAATTGTCTCATCAGGATGGAGTGTGCTTCTAAATGAAGCAAGTCCCTGGGCCCTGATCTCCAGAACCTTCTGGGGTCAGGAGGTGATGGCAGCAATAAGAAAATGACTGGCTGCATTTCTGGGCCTGCCTGTTAGACACAGCGGCTGCAATTACCGATTCCATGCTCTCTGCCATTGGACTGCCTGTCTGTGTGCCACAACGTCCCAGACTCCTCCTCCCCGTGCCTGGGCACACTTTGGCTGTACCAGGGTGAGCACCAGGAGCTCCTCTCAAGGGCAGGACACAGCAGCAGGGGGGGTTTAGATCAGATTTTGGGGAAGTTTTTTCCGTGGAAGGGGTTGTAAAGCACTGGAGCAGGGGATGGTGGAATCACCATCTCTGGAGGGATTTCAGAGTGGCCCTTGGGGACGTGGTTTAATGGTGACCATGGTGGTGGTGCTGGTTGGGCTCCATGGTCTTAAAGGTCTTTTCCAACTTTTCCAACTCTGTCATTTCCTGCTCCCAGCTGGTGCTGGTGTCACCCACCTTGGGGCTGGGAATGGGCAAATTCCTCCAAAGTGACGTTCCAGTAGTGAGAGGATGGGATGAGAAATGGGTTTACCCTGATTCCTCCTCCCCACAGCACCCTGCAGCGCGCTCTGCTCGGCCTGGAGCGTCCCTCAGCAGCACAAGGCTGGGTTTGGGTTTCTCTGCTGGCCTCGGCTTCCCTCGGGCAGCAGCTCTGTGCTGATGCTGCCCCACCTGCCTCGCCCTCATCACACAGTGCTCCAGGTTATTGTCTTCTCTGGCAACAGCTCTGAACTCCAGCCCTGCTTCTCTCTCTCGGTTCAAGCCCGAGTCCCGCGGGAGCCGTGGAGAGGCAGCGGGAATGAGTTAAGTGGAAAGGCTGGCTGTGGTTTTTAGCAGCTGAGGTTTCCCTGCAGCACCAGGCAGGGGATTCTCACTCCTGGTGCTGGCTCCAGCATTCCTCACGTCCCTCAGGGCCTGGGGGAAGTGCCCAGGACCAAACCTCAGACATTTTAATGCCTTGAACTCAGTGCCAGCGATGGCCAGGGAGGAGCTGGAAAGCAGGGCAGTGGTGAGGACAAACCTGTGTCTGATCCCCTCCTTCCTTCTCCTGGCTCTGCCCACCCCTGTCCCTGTCACCTTTCCCTGTCACCTTTCCCTGTCCCTCTCACCTTTTCCTGTTCCTGTCACCTTTTCCTGTTCCTGTCACCATGCAGCCGTTCCCAGTGCAGCCACTCCCAGTTCAGCCGTTCCCAGTTCAGCCCCTCCCAGTTCAGCCCATCCCAGTTCAGCCGTTCCCCGT